TTGACCTCTCAGGGCCTCACCAGACCGGTAATGGCCCGGTTAGCTGTCATAGTTCTTCCATAATTACCAAGGCCCCTCCCCGGCCATCGAATAGTCTCTGACCGGTGGCGTTTGCCTCTGACTTCTCAGAGGCTTCGCTTGTAACGAAGAGCGTCTCCCGACGCGCATTGACGCTTGTTTCGCTCGAGGCCTCGGGAGCATTTCTGGCCACCCAAGTGCTCGTCTGGCTATTGGGGCAGACAGACTGCTACGTGGTCCGCTTGGTTGCCGAAGACACTGAGTTGTATCCCCACGACCCTCTGGACTCCCGGGGTTCTCGCTAACTGCTCAGGGCCCTTTTGGCCGCTCAGAGGCGTCTCACACCGTCCAAGAGTCCTGGCTGCCCCTCATCGCCCGTTCAGATTAAACGCCCAATGCCATATGTATGCCTAGTGCCTATCAGGCTGCCCAGAGGCCTGTTTGGCCACCTGAGAAGCACCCTGACCACCGAGAAACCCTCCAGACATTGATATAGCTCCTTGTCTACTCAGTGCCTCTCTGGTCGGCCAGATGTGTTGACCTGCCCGCTGGACGTCTGGCTGCTGCGGGGCCGCTCTGGCCACTGGAGAGCCCTCTGACCATTGAGATGTTCCTCCCGGTGTCCGGAATGTAACGGGCCGTTCACGGTCTGTTTAGGCACCCAGAGGCCTTTTACATACAGGAGGCCGGCTGAATTCCTCGTGGTTCCCTTTGAAGGCGGCCAGTTGCCACAACGCTAAAGCCTACTTTCTATGATATAGCGGACCGGCTGTCCGCATTCGGCCGCAGGGCGCCTGTCCAACTGCAGTTCGGCGACTATCGAGCCCCCATCAGCTCGGTGACCTTTGCGGTCGTGACCACAGCGCCCATGTACCGGTGTCCGGTCCGCCAGCGATGCCCGTCGGACAGCACCATTATGCATGGCCCAGCGTGGTTGTTCGCCGGTCACCAGTACGAGGTGGCCAGGTCCGGCGAGCATAGATAAACGGCGGCCTCGGCTCGTCAGCTAGCTGCTCCCTACAACCATGGCAACCAGCGTGGAGGCTGACCGGTCTTTAGAGCGCTAGTGGGAACTGAGAGCGGAGGAAAACTTGCTGACAAGTGCTTCCATGGCAGTATATTGGTAGTGGAAACATTTTGTTACCGGACGTTGTGCGTGGTTTGGGTGCACCCCGCCCCACACCAGGCAC